CAGGAGTATTGCCACAGATTTTGCTGTTTTATCAAACAGAGGTTCAGCTTCTACCTATTTGCTGAAATAATCAACTAGCACTATCAAATATTTATACCCATTTACTTCTGGGAGTTGAGTCAAATCAGTCCCAACCGTTCTTTGCACCAAATAACTTTTCTCTAAAAAAAAATTTTAAATGCTATAATAAAATATATATATTTATTAAAAGAGTGCAAAATAGATATTTTTACATTTACTGTGTTTTTCCTTATAACGGCAGTATTATACTAGTAAAGTACAAGCTTTTTATTATGTAATTATGTAAAACATGATATTATTATAAATTATGTATTATTATTACATGATTCATTATTAAAACATGATATTATTATGTAATACGTTATTATGTAAAACGTGACACATAAACGTATACATAAAAATGTATGTATTTATCGCATACGACGCTAGTATAAAAAACTCTAATTATATAAACTGTTTACCTTAAGTTTTGTTTTTCTTCAAAAGTTCGACTTATCACCTTTACTAATAGCTGTCTTTGGATATATGCTTCTTTTTAAAAAATTATAAACGTCGGCAAATTTAGTATGCATAGTTAAATTTTTAGAAATATGAAAGCCATTGTATTAAAAGATTCGCTTCTTATTGTTTTTTTAAGAAACCGCAGTAATTAAAACGTTGAAAACTATTCTCAAAATACAAGAATCAAAATACAGGTTGCTAAAACATAAACATCTACATAAGAATAATATGGAATATTGAACAAAAATAGAAATACAAAAATATTTATTATTAATATAAAATATAATAGTAAAATATAAGGTATATTATAAAATATGGCACAATAATATCTATGTTTGATTGAAATATATAAGCAACAAAAATTAAAATGGTTTTGTTACAAAAATACGTTTTGCCGCATAATATTAATATGGGAGTAAAAATCTAATATAAGATTTTTATTGGGGAGTAAAAATTTAATAACCTTTTTTTACTGGGGAGTAAAAATTTAATATGAGATCTTTAATGGGGAGTAAAAAAAACGCGGGAATAATAATCTCATACTACACCGTCTATAGGGGGGTGCATGGGGTGTCACCCCCCCTCCAAACACTAAATCTTAGTCGGCACAAACAAAGCCACAACAGTCAGTCATATGCAGTCGGCAAATTTTCAAAATCAAGAATCTTTTTTTTTTCAAAGTTCGCATAAGTTGTAATTCGCACACGTGACACTTACTCGCACGGGCCCTGATTATCTGGTTTTGCAAGTCCACTCCTCAATTGACCTTTTGCCAGATAAAGACGCCATTATAAAACGCATTGCATTCTGGGATCGCCTGGGAGCAAACAAACTTGATAGATATATAATTCTATGCGAATATCCAGCGATTATTGCATTAGCCTAGATTATTATTCTTATTTATTGGTTTTAATATGGTTTTTACTTCAGTAGATTTGTCAAAGTGGAAAATAGATGAGTTAAAAACGTATTTATTATCAAGAGGTGTCCCACTTGGTTCAGGAAGTGCACGAAAAGCACTTTTGATAGAAAAAGTTATCATGGCAGAAGCTTTAAACCTACCATTGTTACTTACCACTGATAACCGTATTAATGAAATAAATAACAGTCGAAGAAGGAAGTTAGTAGTTGACGATGTTTTACATCTTCCATTTCCTGAAGATTTAAAAAGTAACTGGCAAAGTGGAAGTCAATATCTTCCTAATGCGACTTTAGAAGTCATTAAAGAATATGCTACAAATAAGAGTGCAATGAAGGCATTTAGAGAAGGAAAAAACTTGCAATATTCTGGGCATGTTAAAGATGTCGCCTTTAATAACATTGTTGACAGTATTCGGTATTGTTACGTTAGAGCTACTGTTGTTCCTCAGACAAGAATAAACGAAAATCCATATTTAGTTTGGGTATGTTTTTATGGTTCAGAATATGTTTTTACTGCTGAGTGTTCGTGTATTGCAGGTTTCAGTTCATCTTGTAAGCATGTCTTTAGTTTATTGCATTATATTGAGAATGAAGTCAGGTTAGGCCATAATAAAACATGTACTGGCAAAAAACAACAATGGGATGTACGAGTTGAAAAGCGCCAAAAAATACATGAACCATGTAAAATAAATTCAGTTATTTTTAGGCGACCACATCCTGAAAATGATGATGTTGAACCTGGTCCAAGTAGAAACTTATATGAACCTCGATCACGAACAGACATTAATGTCACATATTCAACTGAAGACTGGGAGAATATTGCTAAAGCTACCAACGGTAATGCAAGTGTTTTGCAGTTTAAAAAAACAAGTTTTTATAAGTTAGATATTGATTTTACTATTGCTACAGAATATCCTAAAACAATTGATGAAATAGTTTGTATAACCGATATGAATTTGTTTCACTATAAATTAAAAACCTATCGAACAAATTCTGATATAAAAAAAATTTGCAGTATAACAACAGACCAGTCATATTCTATTAATTGGTTTAAATA